GAAGTGCAGCAACGAGCATGCTGCGCGAGTGACCGCCTCTTGACATCTCTCGGGCTGAGATGCGGCGTCGGAGAAAAAAATCATTCATTCCGTTAGCGATTCACTCGCTCATTTCGTTAGCGATTCAATCGCTCATTTCGTTAGCGATTCACTCGCTGATTTCGTTAGCGATTCAATCGCTCATTTCGTTAGCGATTCAATCGCTCATTTCGTTAGCGATTCACTCGCTGATTTCGTTAGCGATTCAATCGCTCATTTCGTTAGCGATTCACTCGCTATGAAGCGGCGCCCTCTCTCGGAAGCGATTGAATCGCTCGGCGCGACGGCTTGCACCCTTCACCTGCTTTACATTCAGCGCTTGGGCTCAGGAGTGCCCGAGTCCCGCGCCCCAGCGCCCGCGTGGCCATCATGGGTAAGCAAGTTCTCGAGAAGCGCCGCCGCCTTGGGAGGCTGGTGACCATTCCAGGCGTGACGTGCGCTGGTTTGTGCGAGGTCCTCCGCCGACTGAGGCAAGCGCCCATCGAAGAGGAGGTCTCTGCGCATGAGGCCAAGGCCGCCGCGAAGATGGAGTACGATAGAGAGATGTCGTGTTCTCTGGAATTGCCGCTGTGCGACGGCGGGTCCTTTGAGTGGCACATTGCAAGGACGTCGCGGGGCGCACCAAGCAGCGCGTCTTTCTTGGGCCGCAAAAAATCAACAACGGCATCTGGATTTTTTTCTGGTGCCAGTTTTCTCCTCTCCCCCTGCCCCTTCCCCCCCTCCACCCATTCCCCCCTTCCCCCTTCCCCCCCCCCCAGGGCGGGAGGGGGTGGTGCAGGGGGTTCGCGGCGCGCCTGCTTGGCGCATCCCGCTGAGGCCTGCCCGCTTGGTTCAACGGTTAGTCGAGGTGTCCCCAGCGCTGAAGCGCATGTTCGCGGCCGCGCCTATCACCCCAGCAAGGCCGTGGAACGTGATCCTTGCGCACGACGAGGTCACGCCTGGAGCTGTGCTGCGACCGCATAACCGCAGGAAGTTCGTTGCATTTTACATTTCGTTTCTAGAATTCAAGCATGCCCTTCGGCACGATTGCTGTTGGTTCCCCCTGGGCGTGATCAGGTCGGCACAAGTGGAGAAAATTCGCGGTGGCCTCTCGGGCACGATCAAGTCGTTGCTGCGTCGCTTGCTTCTTGAGGACGGCAATCTCGTGGATGGCGCGGCCTTGCCGCTACAGGGCGGGCCGACAATGTTCTTCGCGAAATTTGCCGTACACTTGGGAGACGAGGTCGCTTTGTCCAGGGGCCTCGGCGTGAAAGGGTCTGCAGGGATCCGACCGTGTCTGAAGTGCGCCAACGTGCTCAAGAAAGGCTCAGGCATTGCTGGCGCTGGCGCCGCGCCCAATCGGTTGGTGGAAATCACATGCAGGGACCGCAGCTCATTCATTTGTAATTCTGACGAGGCCGTATGGGGAGCCCACGACGAGTTGACGCACTTACAAGGGACAATATCGAAAGCCGCATTTGTGCGCCACGAGAAAGCACACGGCATCAATTTTAATCCTGATGGGTTGTTGGCGGACGCAGACCTCCGAGGGCAGGTCGGCCCTGTTTCGTCGCTCCATTTTGATTGGATGCATGTGTATTTGTGCAATGGTGTTGCGTCCCAGGAAATGTTTTGCTTCATGTCGGCATGCCAAGCCATTCCTGTTCTGAGGGACATCTATCCGAAGTTGGAACGGTACTGCCAGGCAGACTGGTCTTTCCCCCAGCAACACCGACGCAAGTGTCGGGAGGCCCACGTTGTTTTCTGCAAGGCCAGGGAGAACGCATCCAAGGAGCATTGGCGAAGCAGCGCCTCAGAGTTGTTGTGCATTTACCCGCTGGTGCGGCATTTTGCTTGCATTGTTATCTTGCCGAATTTCGATGAGCTGCGCGACGAAGTTGCCTCCCTCTGCCATTGTTTCGCTGTAATTGACAAAATTCAACGGGCGAAGGCGGGCGACATCGATGCCTCGGCCCTCGGAGCTGCAGTTGATCGCCACGCGGACGCACATGAAAAAGCATACGGGGCCGACAATTGGAAACCAAAGTTTCATTTGGCGACGCACATTCCCGAGCAAGTGGAGAAATTCGACGTTGTGTTGGATTGCTTCGTTGTTGAGAGGTCGCACCTTCTGCCGAAAATGATTCTGGACAACCAAGATATACTGAAAGGCTTCGAGAAAGCTGCAATTTCTCGCGTGCTGTTGGCGCGCCTGCAGGAGCTCGAAAGTTTCGACGAGCGCCCAGGGCTCAGGGGGGGCGATGCGGAGTTGTCGCCCCTGCTGGCTGAAGCAGTCGGCGGCGACGTCGTCCTTTCATCCAGCGCTGCTTTCAAAGGCTTGCTTGTTTGGGCAGGCGACGTGGTGCGCATGCAGAACAATTTTCTATGCGTCGCAGCTCTGGGCCAACGGGGGGACGATATATTCATTCTTGGGCACGAGTGCGTCGTGATCGAGAAGCGGGCGCCGAACGCGTCAGTCCTGCGGAAGGACGGCGAATTGCTTCTTGCGTGGTGGAGCGGCGAATCGGTTGAGATGTGCCACGCTTGGTCGGAGCTCGCCTCTGGCGACATTCTTGCTTTGCACTGAGCGGAAAACAACATCTGCCAGGACAGCGATTGAATCGCTCATCAAAAAAACATTAGCGATTGAATCGCTCATCCTCCTCCACTCCGCATCTTTCTTCGGTCTGCGATCCTGCAGCGATTGAATCGCTCATCCTCCTCGCAATCCGCCTCTTTCTTCGGTCTGCGATCCGAAGCCTCAGCAGCCACGCGGCGTCGGGGGGATGGGGGTACGCGGGGGAGGAGGGGGGAGAGGGGAATGATAATGTGCGATATGTACAATTCGAGGGTTGCAAAGGAGCCCAAATTTAACTTATTTCAGACAGTTGCAAGTAGTTTACAAGTTATTTGTAACTTTGATAAGTTCTTTGGCCTGCAACTTACAACTCGCAGTTACGATAGTCACATCCCTGGGTAACTTGGGCAGCTGCAATTACAAGTGGTAAACAATGCAACCATCTATGCTAACATCAAGTTGGGTAGTTGCATGTTAGTTCTTCAGATGACCTTAGCTATGTATCAACTTACGCCATGCTGTAACCAAAGCTGGCCAGCTTCAAGTTTTCTAACCCAAAGTCGCTACGCCAGTGCCCAGCGTCGTTGTCGGTGTCGGCTTGTCGTCGTCGTCGGCGTGCTCGTCGGTGTCGGCGTCGTCGTCGGTTTCGCCGACGTCGGCGTCGGCGTTGGTGTCGGCGTCGGTGCCGGCGTCGGCGTCGGCGTCGGCGTCGGTGTCGGCGCTGGGCGTCGTCGTCGTCGGCATCTGCATTTGCGTCGCTGTCGGCGTCGTGCTCGGCGTGGTCGGCGTCGTGCTCGGCGTCGTTGTCGGCGTCGTCGTCGACGGCGTCGGCGACGGCGTCGACGTCGGTTTTGGCATCGTCGTCGTCGTCGGCCTCAGCGTCGGTGTCGTTGGCCTCGTGCTCGGCGTGGTGCGCGTCGTGGTCGTCGTCATCATTGTCGGCGTCGTCGTCGTCAGCGTCGGCGTCGGCGTCAGCACCAGTGCCGGCGTCGTTGTCGGCGTCAGCGTCGGCGGCGTGCTCGGCGTCGTGCTCGGCGTTGTGCTCGTCGTTGTCGCCGATGTCGCCGCAAGCGCATCCTCGTCTGCGTCGGTTTTTGCGTCGTTGTCGGCGTCGGCATCGTTGTCGTCGTCGTCGCCGTGCGGCGTCGGTGCCGTCTTCGTTGACGTCGGGGCGTCGTGTTCGGCCTCGTGCTTGGCGTCGTGCTCTTCGTGGTCCTTGGCACCGGCGTGCCGGCGTCGGCGTCGTTGTCGGCGTCCGCGTCGTCCGCGTCGGCATCGGCGTCGGCGTCGGCATCGGCATCGGCGTCGTGCTCGGCGTCGTGCTCGGCGTCGTCGTCGTCGTCGTCGCAGGCGTCGGCGTCGGCGTCGTGTTCGGCGTCGTTGTCGGCGTCGGCGTCGGCGTCGTCGTCGTCGGCGTTGGCTTTGACGTCGGCGTCGTCGTCGTCTTCGTCGTCGTCGTTTTGTTCCGCGTCGTCATGTTCGTCGGCGTCGGTGTCGGCAGCGGCGTCGTCGTCGTCGTCTGCGTCGTCGGCGTCGTCGTCTACGTCAGCGTCGACGTCGTCTGGGTTGTGCTCGGCGTCATGAGCGTCGTCGCCGTCGTTTCGGCGTCGTCGTCGACGTCGGCGTCGGCGTCGGCGTCGTCGTCGGCGCAGGCGTCGGCGTCATTGTTGCGTCGGCGTCGGCGTCGTGCTCGGCGTCGGTCTAGCCGTTGTACTCGTCGTCGTCGTCGCTGGCAACCGCGTCGGTATCGTGCTCTGCGAAGTTGTCGGCGTCGGCGTCGTCGTCGCCGGCGGCGGCGCCGGCGTCGGCGACGTTGTGGTCGACATCGTTGTCGGCGTCGTCTTCGGCATCGTGCTTTGGAATCGTGGTCTTCGTCGACGCCCGCGCTGGCGTCGGCGTCGTTGTCGGCGTTAGCGTCGATCGCTTTGGCATCGGCGTCGTGCTCAGCGTCGTCGTCGTCGTCTTCGTCGTTGTCGTCGTCCTCGTCGTCGTCGCTGGCGTCGACGGCGTCGGCGTCGGCGTCGGCGTCGTCGTCGGCGTCGGCGTCGGCGTCGGCGTCGGCGTCGGCGTCGTCGTCGTCTTCGGCGTCGTCGTACACGTCGGCGTCGGCGTCGTGCTCGGCGTAGTGCTCCGCGTCGTGCTCTTCGTGGGCGTCGTCGTCGGCGTCGTCGTCGGCGTCGGCATTGGCGTCGTCGTCGGCGTCGGCGCTGACGTCGGCGTCGTTGCCGGCCTCGTGAATTTTGCTACACAGTCTGCAGCTGCGAACATCGAGGACCAGGAAGGAGAGGAGGAGGAGGAAGAGGAGGAGGAGGCGGAGCAGGGCGGAGGGAGCCAGAGGTCAAGGAGGACAGCGATTTCTCCCAAGCGGCCCGGGCCGTGACCCGGGCCGGGGCCGTCGAGCCAGGTGGAGTTGCTCAAGAATGCGTGCGAGGACTCCGCTCTGCTTGCGCGGGGGGCACGTCCAATCTACCCTTTAGATCTCCTGCTGTTCCTGCTTTGCCTCCTCCTCCGCTTCCTCCTCCTCCTCCTGGAAAGTCCCGAAGTTGGATGATTTGAGGAGCGTGGTCGTCAGCCAGGAGATATATTCTCGACGAGGTGGACAGGCTTGTGACGCAAAACCGCAACCTTGTGATACCACATCCAGGGGACGTTTTCCCCCCTCCGTTGTCCGAGGGGTGTTGCGAGGTGGAATGGTTTGTGGATCCTCCTGAGAATGAGTTTTCGCAGGAAGGATCTGTTTTTGTAGATGGCTCTTGTTCGACCCACCCGATCAAAGAATTGAGACAGGCGGGGTGGTGCGCCACCTCGATTAAGGATGGAGTCCGACAGTGTGAGCTGAGATGTCCTGTCCATTTGCATTTGAAGCAGTCGGCGCAGGCTGCAGAGTTTTCCGCGTTCACGGGCTCTGTGACGTGCCTGTTGGGGCCGACTACAATATTCTCCGATTGTGCAAACGTCATTTCGCAGTTTCAGGCATCTTCTAAGGAGATCGCGTCTTTTCGCAAAACGTATGCAGGCCATGTGGTGCAGGCTAAGTACTGTGACTCTGCGCACCATTTGCAGGGTAGAGTAAAGGTGAAGGCCCGCCTTTCGCTCCAAGAGGAAGGCCTACCAGAGGATGAAGTGTTTCGTCGCACTGGCAACCACCCCGCGGATGTTGGTGCTAAGCCTGCTGCATGCTTACATCCGCTTGATGCTGAATGCATGGGCGAGACAACTTCCAGGATCAAGTTTACCTCTGCGTCTTGCAAAGGTAAACTTGGTCCTTTGGCTGAAAGCTCAAACTTTCGCCCTGGGGTTTGATCTTTTGGCGCAGCCGACAGGGAGGATCGAGGGTTTTCTGGGGATGCGGCCCCTCGATTTCGGCTGCGCTCCCTTCTTTGTGCTCCGAGCAGTCCCGCGTGCAGTCATGACTGCGGATGCTGCCCCTGCTTGGTTCGCTGTTTTTGTGACTGGATAGTTTGCAACGCTGACGTCTAATGTGAACGAGTCTAACAAAATATTGACAAGCCAGGTGACGCAGATCGGCGGGCGCATGGCGGCGCTGGAAATCGAGGTACAAGAACTTCAGGTGAAGCAACATGATACAGAACGTCGCATCGATACTATGGGAAAAAGGCCCCATCCATCATCGATGGCGTCTACGTATGCTGGCACGAAACGCCCGCGTGTTGCTGGCACCGCTGGCTTGCTCGATCATCAGCAAGTTGAGCCAGGGAGATTCTGGGTGGCGGGGTACCCACGCGCGGTCCTTGAGACCACGCGTCGCACCACATGGTCACTACTCGAGGCCGCATGTCCGCAGCATCTGCTCAGTGGCACCACAACGAAGCTTGCGAAGACCAGCCAGAGCTTGTCCATCCACTTCTCCTCGTCCGAGGTGGCAAAGGAGTTCAAGAACTGGTTCATCGCGCAAGAGGTGAAATGGCAAGATCCTTGGGACCAAAAGGGGCACCGCCTACGGATTCGGGCTGACCTTTCAGATGATGTTCGTACCCTTCAACATTTCATGGCGAAGCTCTGGACTCCTGCGGTTCAGCATCTCAAAGACTCGAACCGCTACGAGGACACGATGAAGATTGGTGGGGATGGGTTGCGGAACGAGTTCCCCGCGAGGACGGAGGCAGACCACTTCGTGCTAATGAAAGGGGAGCCGGACGGGCTTGGTCGCATGCAGCTGCGCCCACATCTTCCTGATCCACAGTGCTGGGGGATCTCGGTCGAGGCCATGAAGTCTTGGATCGAGGACTGCCAACATGATTGACATGCTCCCCAACCAGCTACGTCGACAGTCATCTGCTCGGAGTCTGCTCTCTGCGAGAGCGTGTCCGACGGACTTGCTCCTGGGCGTGATGATGGTTTTTGTTCACGCTACCGCGCCGGTTTCGGCTTAATTCAGACACCTCCGTGGCTTCTACCTGCAGCGACTCCTCATCTTCCTCTACCTCGTCGAGTGCTTCTCAAGACACCATCAGTCTGGAACCTACGTCGATGTCCAGCTCTGCTTCGTCCTCGTATGATTATGACTCGCCTGCCTGCCCTGCTGAACAGGCTGCGTCTCTGCCCGTTTGCGCTGTCTCTCCGCCTGCGGTCGTGGGCCCGACGCCTTTCTGGCCACCTTGCACGGCAGTGCGCCAGCAGCCGTGCCCCCCCCCCCTCCCAGTGCTGTTACTTAGAATGCGCGTGGGCTTTTCGCCTGTGCGAGAACTAGGCGGCAGAAGAATGCCGCTAGTATATTTCGCAACTTAACACGTCTTTGTCGGAAGTGTCAGATTGTACGTGCCCAGGGAACTCACGGTCAGTTGGCAGATCTAGTTCATTTACATAACGAAGTAAGAAACTCGAGCGTTGGCGGTAGTTCCCTGACACTGCACGTGATGGCGGCACGGTTACTTACATCATCATGATATCCACCAAGGCCGCATGCTGTTGAGCGCTATCGTTGGGGATCGGGGAACCCTGCTATCATGAGCGTGCACGTGCCTAACGCATGCGAAGTGCGACGTGTCTATGCTAACTCTTTGGATGGCATCCTCATCCACCTTCCACCTGCTGCACAATGTTTCTCGATCGTTCCTGGGGGCTGGAATTTTGAAGATGAGGACCGTATGTTTCCCGATGGGAGTGGCTGGTCCAATGGCGGCTCTCGGTTTCAAGAGGTTTTTGATCGCGAGTGTGGCCAGTGGATTGGGTTTTCAAGCCGGAGACGCCCGATGGGAGCTGCGGGATGGTGGTAGTGCCCACTCGACAAGGCTTGATCGTATCTACTCGTCTCTGCCTGCTGCGCCCATTGCTGACCTCGCGATCCAGTCGTCTGTCATTGGCAAGCGGCGTTTATCGCGCACCCCTGATCAGATTCTTGTTCTGGTGCAGATTACGCCATGTCGTCCGTCGCCTAACGACCTTCCAGCGACCCCCAACTGGCTGAGTAAGAATGAAGCTTTTCAAGAGACGCTCGAAAGAACCCTGGGGGGTCGCGCGGACGAGCCGAACATGCTTGATGCAGCTTCTGCGCCGGCTGCAACCAAGAGCATCATGCATGAGATTGCGCCCGTTGTTCGCCGACAGCTATCAGAGCATATTGCCGTTCAGAAAGCTGAGCAGCATCACTGGCGCATGGTCGCTCCTCGTGGCGTCCGGGCACAGCAGGACCACCTGATCTGTAGAGCGTTGTCTTCTCACCCTGTGCTGCAGCAGTTCTTTGATGTCGACCGCGCGCAGTGCGCCGATGCCGACGGCCTGTGCAGGCGCGCGCAAGATCTATATGTTGCCATTCTCAATGAGGAGGAGGAGGAGGAGGAGGAGGAGGTGTCCAATGATGCGAACATTCAGGAGGAGGCGAAAGCCAATGCTCTGAGAAAGCTACGGCGTAAGCAGGAACTTTGGCGTAAGTTTATACGTTGCGCGTATCTGTCTGCTGTGCTTGGCGAAAGAGGGCGACCGTGCGCTTCGTTAGAGGCATCTGCTGCTTGCCTCACTCAGTACTGGGGGGGGTTGATGAGATCCCTGCTGATCGTGTGCACTGGGGTGAAATTCCCACTCACCTTCAGGTCGTCGCTGGGGGATGAGAATCGGGCTCAGGATGAGAATCGCCGGCCTGGTGGGGGTGCTATGTCTTGGGAAGTCTCCAATTAGGGTTTTTACCAGTTGATTGGGTCGCGTCGTGACTCAATGCCTGGGCCTGACGGTATTCCTTACTATTGTTAGCGTGCCGGGAATGCGCCTCGGTATCTATGCAACTTTTATCTGGCGATTGCGCGTGGAACGGTAGTGGGGCCGCCGACAGAGATGAGGGATAGTTTATTGGTATTTTTTTATCGAAAGGGGAGGGGCCAGGGGATGGGGATGGACACCTCGTCAGATATTGTGCATGCACGAGGCCATTGACTATGGCTAGCACAGGTGCCAAACTGCTTCCAAGCCTGTGCTGCATGCCGCGGAGTCAGATGTCTAGCGCCAGTGTCGCGCCACTTCAGAAGTGCGTTAAAGGGGGACAATTGCTCACGAACGTTATTCAGGTGGAAGGGTGGGGGCTTACGCAGGACCTCCTCGGGCAAGACGCTGCCGCCGTTCTTCCTACCGAATGTGCCGCTGCTTTCCCGTCTATTCTGCATGTCTGGCTGCGCGCCGTCTTCTCGGCCCTGGGCGTTCTTTCATTTATTCAGCGCTTATATCGCATGCTTTACTTTGATAACTATGGCGCTGTGACCTTGGGAGGGAGGAGGTTTGACAGGTTTGCGATGCGACGAGGAGTGCGGCAGGGAGATCCGAGCTCGATGACATTAGTTTGCTTATGTCTAGATCCTGTTCTGCGCTGGATGCAGTACAGGATGCCGCGTCAGCTGTCTCTTACTCTCGCGTATGCGGATGACGGCCTGTTCGGAATGACCGATCTCTTTTACGCTCTCCCTCTGGTATGGGAACGCCTCCCGTGCCTAGACCGCGCAATTGGTTTGGCCCTGAGCTTTAGCAGGTGTGGGCTTCTTTTATGCGGGAGGATGGGGAAGGAACATGTTAGGCATATGTTACAGGAAGCTGGAAAGGGGGCTTGAGCTTATAACTGTTTGCGCGGATCTGAAGTACCTTGGCTGTTTTATTGGCCCGATTGCTGCTGGCATAGCGTGGGTTAGCCCGTTGGAGAAGTTTGTTGCGCGTTGTGCGCAACTCCGTGCCCCATCGCTTGGATTTGCCATGACTACTGTTACCGTTTAAAGTTATGTGTGTCAATGTTTGGCAGTTTGTCCTGCAAGTTGAAGCGGTACCACTATTGTCACCAAAACGTTTAAACATGTGTTACAGCGTCTTACATGTGGTCCTTATCACGCGTTCTCGTATATCGTGCTTGTGTCCATGGTGCAGCTTGGATTTCCACTTGCGTCTCCTGATCTTTCTGCCCTCTCGAATGCTTGCCGCATCCGCTTTGCTACCAAA